AAATGATACAGAGGAACAGATCAGTGAGCTGGAAGACAAAGTAGTGGAAATCACTGTTGCTGAACAGAAAAAAGAAAAAAGAATGAAAAGAAATGAGAACAGTTTAAGAGACCTCTGGGACACTATTTAGAACACTAATATTCACATTATAGGGGTCCCAGAAAGAGAAGAGAGAAAGTGAAAGGGGCTGAGAACATACTTGAAAACATAATAGCTGAAAACTTCCCTAACATGGGAAAGGACACAGTCACCAAGTCCAGAAGGTGCAGAGAGTCCCATACAGGATGAACCCAATGAGGAACACACCAAGACACACTAATAAAAATGACAAAAATTAGGGCTTCCCTGGTGGCGCAGTGGTTGAGAGTCCACCTGCTGATGCAGGGGACACGGATTCGTGCCCTGGTCCGGGAAGATCCCACATGCCGCGGAGCGGCTAGACCTGTGAGCAATGGCCGCTGGGCCTGCGCATCCGGAGCCTGTGCTCTGCAACAGGAGAGGCCACAACACTGAGAGTCCCGCATACCACAAACAAACAAACAAAAAGACAAAAATTAAAGAGAGAATATTAAAAGCAGTGAGGGAAAAGCAACAAGTAACATACAAGGGAACTCACATAAGTCTATCAGCTGATTTTTCAGCAGAAACTCTGCAGGCCAGAAGGGAGTGGCACAATATGTTTAAAGTGATGAAAGGTAAAAACCTACAATCAAAAATACTCTACCTGGCAAGGCTCTCATTCAGATTTGATGGAGCAATCAAAAGCTTTACAGACAAGCAAAAGCTAAAAAAGTTCAGCACCACCAAATGAGCTTTATAACAAATGTTAAAGGAACTTCTCTAGGCAAAAAGGAAAGGCCACAACTAGAAACAAGAAAATTACAAAATGAAAAAGGTCACCAGTAAAGGCAAACCTACAGTAAAGGCAGGAAATCATCCACACACAAAGCTAGTAGACAGGTTAAAAGTCAAAAGTAGTAAAATCATCTATAACCACAATAAGCAGTTAAGAGGTACAGAAAACAATTAGATGTAAATATATGATATCAAAAATAGTAATTGGGAGGGGAGGAGAGTACAAATGCAGGGTTTTAAAAATGCATTTGAAATGAAGAGATCAGCAACTTATACACACACACAGCAATACACACACATATACAGACTGCCATATAAAATCCTCATGGTAACCACCACAAACCAAAAATCTAAAGTAGACATACACAAAAAAAAGAAAAAGGAATCAGAACATAACACTAAAGACAGTCATCAAATCTTAAGAGAAGAGAAAAAAAGAAGAAAAAGAATAAAATGGCAATATGAACATAAATATCAATAATTACCTTAAATGTAAATGAATTAAATGCTCCAACCAAAAGACATAGATAGAGTGGCTGAATGGATACAAAAACAAGACCTGTATATATGCTGCCTACAAGAGACTCACTTCAGATATAGAGACACACACAGACTGATAGTGAAGGGATGCAAAGAGGTATTCTGTGCAAATGGATATCAAAAGTAGCAATACTTATATGAGACAAAATAGACTTTAAAATAAAGTCTGTTACAAGAGACAAAGAAGGATACTATATAATGATCAAGGGATCAATCCAAGAAGCAGATATAACAATTGTAAGCATATATGCACCCAACATAGGAGCACCTCAATATATAAGGCAAATATTAACAGACATAAAAGAAGAAATTGACAGTAACACAATAATAGTGAGGGGGGGGGCTTTAACACCCAACTTACATCAATAGACAGATCATCCAGACAGAAAATTAATAAGGAAACACTGGTCTTAAATGACACCTTTGATCACACGGACTTAATTGATATACATAGAGCATTCCATCTGAAAGCAGCAGAATATACATAATTTCAAGTGCACATGAAACTTTCTCCAGGACAGATCACAGGCTAGTTCACAAAAAAGCCTCAGTAAATTTAAGAAAATTTAAATCATATCAAGCATCTTTTCCGACCACAGAACTACGAGGCTAGAAATCAACTATAAGAAAAAAACTGCAAAAATCACAAATACGTGGAGGCTAGACAACCAATGGATTACTGAAGAAATCAAAGAGGAAATAAAAAAATACCTAGACACAAACGAAAATGAAAACACAATGATCCAAAACCTATGGGATACAGCAAGAGCAGTTCTTTTTTTTTTTTTTTTTTTTTTTTGCGGTATGTGGGCCTCTCACTGCTGTGGCCTCTCCTGTTGCGGAGCACAGGCTCCGGACGTGCAGGCCCATCGGCCATGGCTCACGGGCCCAGCCGCTCCGCGGCATGTGGGATCCTCCCGGACCGGGCCATGAACCCGTGTCCCCTGCATCAGCAGGCGGACTCTCAACCACTGCGCCACCAGGGAAGCCCAGGAGCAGTTCTAAGAGGGAAACTTGTAGCAATACAATCTTACCTCAGGAAACAAGAAAAATCTCAAATAAGCAACCTAACCTTACAACTAAAGGAACTAGAGAAAGAAGAATAAGTGAACCCAAAGTTAGTAGAAGGAGAGAAATAAAGATCAGAGGAGAAATAAATGAAATAGAGACTAAAAAACAATAGAAAAGATCAATGAAACAAAAAGCTGGTTCTTTGAAAAGATAAACAAAATGGATAAACCTGTAGCCAGACTCATCAAGAAAACAAAGGGAGAGGGCCCAAATCAATAAAATCAGAAATGAAAAAGGGGAAATTACAACCGACACTACAGAAATACAAATGATCATAAGAAACTACTATGAACAGCTATATGCCAAAGAAATGAACAACCCAGAAGAAATGGACAAATTCTTGGGAAGGTACAATCTCCCAAGACTGGACCTTGAGGAAATAGAAAATATGAACAGACTAATTACCAGTAATAAAGTTGAATCAGTAATTTAAAAACCCCCAACAAACAAAAGTCCAGGACCAGAGGGCTTCACAGGTAAATTCTACCAAACATTTAGAGGAGAGTTAACACGTACCTTCTCAAACTATTCCCAAAAATTGCAGAGGCAAGAACACTTCTGAACTGATTATATGAGGCCTACATCACCCTGATACCAAAACCAAAGTTATCACAAAAAAAGAAAATTACAGGCCAATATCACTGATGAACATAGATGCAAAAATCCTCAACAAAATATTAGCAAACCAAATCGAACAATACATTAAAAGCATCATAGGCCTTCCCTGGTGGCACAGTGGTTGAGAGTCCACCTGCCGATGCAGGGGACACGGGCTCGTGCCCTGGTCCGGGAAGATCCCACATGCCGCGGAGCGGCTAGGCCTGTGAGCCATGGCCGCTGAGCCTGCGCGTCCGGAGCCTGTGCTCCGCAACGGGAGAGGCCACAACAGTGAGAGGCCCGCGTACCGCAAAAAAATAATAAATAAATAAAAATAAAAATGAAAAAAAATAGAAAAAGAAAATCTTCTGAATTAAAAAAACAGAGGGAAAAAAAAGAATGGGGCTTCCCTGGTGGCGCAGTGGTTGAGAGTCCGCCTGCTGATGCAGGGGACATGGGTTCGTGCCCCGGTCCAGGAAGATCCCACATGCTGCAGAGTGGCTGGGCCCATGAGCCATGGCCGCTGAGCCTGCGCGTCCAGAGCCTGCGCTCCACAGTGGGAGAGGCCACAACAGTGAGAGGCCCGCGTACCGCAAAAAAAAAAAAAAAAAAAAAAAAAAGAATGGATGTACTACCATCTAACAAGGGGATTGGTACAAGGCCTCCATGCAGTTCATCTGACAGATAACCATGTATCACATATTTGAAGTGTGCCAGGTGTGCTGGGGAAAGTGTGTGTTTAGGGGGACAATGGCAACTACTTGCTCATTCATCTTTTTTTATTATTATGTAAAGTTTCAAACATAAAGAAACACTGAAAACCTTGTACAGTGAACATTTGTATACCCATCTCCTAGATTTTACCATTAGTTTTTCACTTGTTTTATCACATACCTGTTTATCCCTCTATCCATCAATTAAGGCATCTTATTTTTTGACACATTTCAAAAAATATACATACACTTCCTCATAAATACTTCGGCATGTATATCATTAACTGTTCAATATTTATGTTTTTTCATTTGCTAAAAAATTTGCATACAATGAAATGCACAAGTCTTGTGTTCATTCACTGAGTTTTGAGAATTACATGTATTTGTGTAACCCAAATCTCTCTCAACATATACAACATTACCATCACCCCAGGGAATTCCCTCATGGGCCCATCATATACTTTTTCATAATTAAAAAAATGTAAAACTATTTGGAATGTATATATAGTATGATCCCATTTTTGCTATAGAAATACAGAAAAAAACTGGAAGGAAAAATATAAAAAGTGATTATTTCTGGATAGTGGGGTTACCATTGATATTTATTTTCTTCTATTCCTTTCTCTGTATTTTCTAAATTTGATGTAATGTATTACTTGGGTGGTAAGAAAAAAAGCAGTAAAAGCTACTTGAAAGAAAACAAACATCTTTCAATCTTTTTATGAATGATGTCACACATACAAGAATATTAATACATCGTTATCATTCTGAAGATAATGTATGTAGCAAAATTATAAATATTTTAATATAATATTAGATTACAATGAAAAAATTAAAGGAAATGTTAATACCATAATCACCATGATATGACGTGTATACATATAGAACAGGACTAGAAGGGCGTAAGAAAAAAAAGTGGCTATATTTCTCATGCTGTTCCCTGGGGCCTGTTAGAGTGATGAGATTATGGGTAATTAAAAAAAAGTTATATCGACTTTTTCTAAATTAAAAATTAGTAGTTAAAATAACCCATAAGACCCTGACTTCAGGGTCACCCATCTCTACATACATGGGCCAGCTCTGAAGAAGTGAACCCTCTCAGGCAAGCTACAAAATCTTTCCTGACTTTTGTGAAGGCCTCACGTGGGCCACACATTTTGGTTGGGTTTGGAACATATGCTCCAAACCACTACAGTAAGACAAAACAAACAGGTACTAAGTTACCTCTTTCTGGAAAGATGTTGTTTTTGGTGAGTTTGACACTTTTGGGTCTTGGGTTGTTATTATCCATACCCATGATGAGGTTGCGGAAAAACAGATCAAATTTCTTTCTGCTGTCTGCGTTGATGGTGCCGGCCACGGTCCACACCAAGGCAAAAAGGAAGAGACCTTGCAGCCAGAGGAAGATCTGTTGGCTTGTCAGGCTTTCAAATAATTCACTTTCCTTCTCTTCTATTTCCCTGATTTCATCTAAAAGCAAGAAAAGGAATTTCAGGAAAAGCCGCAGAGTGCAATAGATATGAATTGGGCTGTTTTGTCTGTGAGGAGCCTGGGAAGAGGACTGATACTGGTTGAATGGCATCACCTGCCAGACTCTTTATCCACATACATTAAAAAAAATTTTTTTTTATTGTGGTAAGATATGCATAACATAAAAATTACCATCTTAACCGTTTTAAAGTTCAGTGGTATTAAATACATTCATGTTGTTGTGCAACCATCACCACTATTCATATCCAGCACTATTTTCATCTTGCAAAGCTGAAACTAATTCATTACCCTCTCCCCAATGGCCTGGCAAACAGCATTCTACTTTCTGTCTTTATAAATTTGACTAACCTAGATATGTCTTAAAGGTGAAATCATATAGTCTTTTCTGACTGGCTTATTTCTCTCTGCATAATGTCCTCAAGGTTCATCCATGTTGCAGCATGTATCAGAATTTCTTTCTTTTTTTTATTTTGGCCGCACCATGCGGCTTGTGGAATCTCTGTTCCTCAACCAGGGATTGAACCCAGGCCACGGCAGTGAAAGCGCCAAACACTAACCACTAGACCACTAGGGAACTCCCCAGAATTTCCTTCCTTTTTTAAGGCTGAGTAATATTTCACCATATGTATATACTAGATCTATTTATCCATTCATTGGTTGATGGACACTTGGGTTGCTTCCACCTTTGGCTACTGTGAATAATGCTGCTATGAACATGGGTGTACAAAATATCTGTTTATGTCCCTACTTTCAATTCCTTTGTATATACACCAGAAGCAGAAGTGCTAAATCATCTGGTAATTCTATTTTTAATTCTGAGGATCTGACAAACTATTTCCATAGCAACTGTACCATTTTACATTTCCATCAACAGTGCACAAGGGTTCCAATTTCTCTACATCCTCATCAACACTTGTTCTTTTGGTTGTTGATGCTGTTGTTCTTGTTGTCAGTGCTTGCAGATGACATATACTATATATAGAAAATCCTAAAGGCATCACCAAAAAACTACTACAGTTCACCAATAAATTCAGTAAAATTGCAGGATTCAAAATTAATAAAATTAATATGCAGAAGTTGGTTGCACTTCTATACACTGAAAACAAACTATTATAAAGAGAAATTAAGGAAAGAATCCCATTTAACATTGCATCAAAAAGAATAAAATATCTAGGAATAAATCTAAATAAGGAAGTAAGAGACCTATATTCGGAAAACTACGAGACACTGATGAAAAACTGAAAACGACACAAACAGATGGAAAGATATACTATGTTCATGGATTGGAAGAATGAATATTGTTAAAATGACCATGCTACCCAAGGTAATCTACAGATTCAATGCAATCCTTATCAAAATATCAAAGGCATTTTTCACAGAACTAGAACAAATAATTCTAAAAGTTGTATGTAAACACATAAGACGCCCTAAGAGCCAAAGCAATCTTAAGAAAGAAGAACAGAGCTGGAGGCATCATGCTCCCAGACTTCAGACTATACTACAAAGCTACAGTAATCAAGACAGTATGGTGCTGGTACAAAAACAGAAATATAGATCAGTGGAACAGAATAGGGAGCCCAGAAATAAACCCATACACTTATGGTCAATTAATCTACGACAAAGGAGGCAAGAATATATAATGGAGAAAGGACAGTTTCTTCAGTAAGTGGTGCTGGGACAATAGGACGGCTATATGTAAAAGAATAAAATCAGAACATTTTCTCACGCCGTACACAAAAAGTAAACTCAAAATGAATTAAAGACCTAAATGTAAGGCCATAAACCATAAAACTCCTAGAAGAAAACATAGGCAGAACACTCTTTGACATAAATCGTAGCAATATTTTTTTGATTTGTCTCCTAAGGCAAAGGAAACAAAATCAAAACTAAACAAGTGGGACCTGATTAAACTTAAAAGCTTTTGCATATCAAAGGAAACCATGGACAAAATGATAAGACAACCTACTGAATCAGAGAAAATATTTGCAAATGATATGACTGATAAGGGGTTAATATCTAAAATACATAAGCAGGTCATATAAATCAACAACAAAAAAACAAACAACCTGATTAAAAATGGGCAGAAGATCTGAATAGACATTTTTCCAAAGAAGAGATACAGATGGCCAACAGGCACATGAAAAGATGTTCAACATCTTTTTTTTTTTTTTTTTTTTTTTGCGGTACACAGGCCTCCCGCCGCCACGGCCTCTCCCGTTGCGGAGCACAGGCTCCGGATGCGCAGGCTCAGCGGCCATGGCTCACGGGCCCAGCCGCTCCACGGCATGTGGGATCTTCCCGGACCAGGGCACGAACCCGTGTCCCCTGCATCGGCAGGCGGACTCTCAACCACTGTGCCACCAGGGAAGCCCTGTTCAACATCTTTAATCATCAGAGAAATGCCAATGAAAACCATAATGAGGTATCACCTCACACCTGTCAGAATAGTTATCATCAAAAGGACCACAAATATCTAATGTTGGTGAGGATGTGGAGAAAAAGCAACCCTCGTACACTGTTGGCAGGTATGTATATTGGTGCAGCCACTGTGGAAAACGGTATGGAGGTTCCTCAGAAAACTAAAAATAGAGTTGTCATATGATCCAGCAATCCCACTCCTGGGCACATATCTGAAAAAACAAAAACACTAATTCAAGAAGATACATGCACCCAATGTTCATAGCAGCATTATTTACAATAGCCAAGATATGGAAGCAACTTAAGTGTCCATCCACAGATGAATCATTAAAGAAGATGGACTACTCTGCCATAAAAATGAATGAAATTTTGCCATTTGCAAGAACATGGATGGGCTTGGAGGTTATTATGCTTAGTAAAATAAGTCAGACAGAAAAGGACAAATATTGCATGTTATCACTTATACGTGGAATCTAAAAATTACAACACACTAGTGGATATAACATAAAAGAAATGGACTTACAGATATATCTAGAAAACAAACTAGTAGTTACCAGCGGGAAGAGGGACAGGGGAGGGGCAAGACAATGTTTGGTGATTAAGAAGTACCAACTACTATGTATGTAACAAATAAGTTACAAGGATATATTGTACAACACAGGGAATATAGCCAGTATTTTATAATAACTTTAATGGAATATAATCTTTAAAAATTGTGAATTACTGAGTTTTACACCTGAAACATATAATATTGTAAATCAAATATACCTAAATTTTTTTAAAAAGCACAATCTCAATCTAATTATGAGAAAATATGAGGCAAACTTAAATTGAAAAGCATTCTATAACATAACTGGCCAGTCTTCATCATGTGAAAAGGTTATAAAATATAAGGAAAGACTGAAGAACTGTCATAGCTTGTAGGCGACCAAAGAGATAACAACAATTAAATACAATGGGGCATCTTGAATTGGATCCTGGATCAGAAGAAGAACATTTGTGGAAAAATGTGAAATTCAAATAAAGTGTAGTTAACAGTATAGTATCAATGTTAACTTCCTTATTATGATAATTGTACCTTCATTATATAAGATGTTAACATTAAAGAAATCTCAGTAAAGGGTATATGTGACTCTACATTCTTTTAGCAATTTTTCTTTAAGTCCAAAATTATTTCAAAATAAAAGGCTAAAAATGTATTCGGTGTTCCTTATCTCAAGTCCTTGTTAATCACAGCTACCATGTTCTTGCATTTTAACACTGACAGAGTAAAAAGTTATAGCCCCAAAATCAAATATGTGTGCATTCAAACCCAGTCCCCCATTTTTAGTAGTTGTGAGCACTCCTGAGAGGATTCATAGCTATAGATTCATGAAGGCAAGAGATGAGGTTACTCAGGACTGTGGACAATAAGTTCACTTCTCATGCTGGTGCTTTCTTTCCTGGAGGAGATACTACACAAGGTTAGTAAAAGGAGCTTGGGAAAGTATGTAAAAAAAATTTACTAATAAAAATACAAACATATGATATTGTATGAATTAGTATGCTTCTAAAAATATTCCCTGTGATTTTAATTTTAGAAAATAAAATAATATTTAGCTAGAGAAAGTCTCCACTCAACAGTTTCCCATGTTACTTTTTTTTTTTAATCTACATCTATAATGCTTTTGGAAGAAATGGGCTGAGAAAATATGTTCATGTAGCAGAAGCTATAAGAAGATTCACCTTCAGTTTGAATTATGTATTATCTTGAGAAAGAAATGGCATCCAATAAAAGTTCTCCAAATTAACACATCTTTTGTCATTTCCAATAGAATCCTGTAAAATTTGATTTATGTGAAATGGTTATAGAGAACTTCTCCAGGACATTTAAACCAATGGTTCTCCATGTCCTGGAGACGTTCCCTAGTTCTGGAGACTAATGTGATCAGTTTTTTTATAGTGTATCTATGTGTTTTATGAATTCAGATTTTTGTAATATAAGTTTTCTTAAAATGGAAAAACTTCCTGTCTTATTCTTTTCAGAATCTTTTTTTTCCTGATATACATTTACATATGTCACCTAAATTCATTTTCCTCCAGGATATCCCTCCCTGTTAGGTAAAGAGGAACAGGAATTATTATTCCCATTGTGTGGATGAGGAATCTAATACTGAGGAAGAATGGGCTAATTTGCACAAGAATATACCCAGGAAGTCAATGTAAGATCAAGCCAAACTATATGGACTCTTTCCACCAAACTCTACTACCTACACTCAAAAGACTTGCTGGTTCTAGACCAAAATGCTGGTCTCATTGTAACTCATGGAGGAATAATAGGGGTGGGAGCAGAAGAAATGGCCAAGGCACACCATACGCCCATCTGGCTTAAGAACTGTAGGGTAGTACTTACCTAGCAGAGAGGAGTACAGTCTCATCATTGAGAAGGCAAGGTGGATGGGAGATGTTTGGACCACAAATTTACACTGAAGGTGAATAAATTCCAGGCAGGGCTGGATAAGCCACATGAACATGTCATTGATCTGAGAGTAGAAAGTGAGATTTGACATTATTAAAAAGTGTGTTTAAGACCAAGAGCTTGGTACACCTCAAGGAGGCTGGAAATGTTGGTAAGACTGCTGATTACTTTTGAGTCTAGGTGTACTGAGGAAAGTCCACAGGCACCAAGACAGATGCACCCAGCTTCCTATTTAATGGACTGTGCAGCCCACTGGCCATTCCCCACCCCTCCCATTCCACTAAGCTGAATACTCAAGAGAAGCTTGGAGCCACTATGGGTCAGCTACAGGATGCATGAAATAGTTCTAGGTCCCAGCCACAGTATCTGCCTTTGTTTCTATAAAAAAAAATGTTAGGAATTCTAAACAACTGATTTGCAAATGACTGACTGGCATTTATAAGGCAGGTCTCCTGAAGAAAGTGGCCACAGGGAATTTCAGGCTCATTTTCAGTAATTACCGGTATGTATGTATGTACATACTTATTGGTGGGTATGTTAATTGCTGTCTCTGCTCCACATCCAATTTAAAACAGGTAACTAATGAGAACCTACTGCATAGCACAGGGAGCTCTACTCAGCGCTCTGTGGTGACATAAATGGGAAGGAAATCCAAAAAAGATGGCATATATGTATATGTATGGATGATTCACTTTGCTCTACAGCAGAAACTGACAGAGCAGTGTAGAGCAACTATACTCTAATAAAAAATATATTAAAAAATTACGTGACTCACTTTCTCCTCTTAGTGTTTTTTTCATTTTTGTTATACTTTGTGACTTTTGCTGTAAATTACCTTAAGTTATTTTTTTGTAAGTAGGTAGGTCATCACTAAATAAATATACAGATACTGATTATATATGGATATGTGTGCATATATGAATGTTTAGATGTCTTTATATGTATATATGACTATACATGAGTACACAGATATGTGGTTTTCAGTCAGGAAAATTTATTGTGCATCTACTAAATGCAGTGTGGTAGGTGCTAAGGATAAATGATGAACAAAATAGACAAGGTCCCTGTCCTCGTGATTTACAGTCTGAGGGGAAGGGAAGACAAACAAAAAATAAATAAACAAGCAAGGAAATGAACTAAGTATTTACAAATCATGAATGTACTAGCAGGAAACAAATAAAGGTATTACAATGGGAAATAACAGGAAGTTTTTTGTTTTTTGTTTTTGCAGTACGCGGGCCTCTCACTGCTGTGGCCTCTCCTGCTGCGGAGCACAGGCTCCGGACGCGCAGGCTCAGCGGCCATGGCTCACGGGCCCAGCCACTCCACGGCATGTGGGATCTTCCCGAACCGGGGCACGAACCCGTGTCCCCTGCATCGGCAGGCGGACTCTCAACCACGGCGCCACCAGGGAAGCCCAACAGGGAGTTTTTAATAGGGTGGTCAGGGAAGACTTCTTGGAGAAGGAGGCCTTTATGCTGAGACCTGGATGACAAAGGTGAATCATCCCTTATGAGAATAAATGGGGCAAGATTTCCAGAAAGAGGAATAAAAATTGCAAAAGCTTTGAGGTAGTAAAACCTGGGGTTTTCTAGGAATGGAAACAAGACCCAAGGGCTGGAAGATAATGAGCTGAGGCTGAGAAGAGGGTAGGTGAGGTTGGAGAGGCAGGCTGGGTAGGATCACAGTCTCAGAGGCCCGATAAGAAGTTAGACTGTACTAAGGACACTGGGAAGTTTCTGAAGGCTTCCTGTGCATGTGTAGATTGGTTTCTCACTGTGCATGTGGATATGCGTCTATGTAAATAAACATGCTATATATATATTGTACATGTATGTAAATGTGACAGGAGAGGGGCTGTCCTCCACAGTTCCCCAGACTGTTTCCCCAGTAGGAAGAGAATCCACCTCGGATCCTTCTTGGCTTCTTCAGTGGGAAACTTTCCTAGGGAATCAGAAACACCACAGGAACTGTTCTCCCTTCCTACTTCCCTTGTCTGAGCGTGTGCTAATGTAACCTGAACATTCACATCTCTCTTAGGAAGGGAAGAAGAAAATGGACACTCTTAGTAGCTGCACTAAGAGAATTTCTAACTGGTTCTGGCTCCCTAAATATAGAAGGTATGGCGTCTAGGTTACAGGGATAGGAAATGGCAGTGAAGAGAGGAACACAGGTCTTCCTAACCTGGTCCATCTTTAGAGCAACTTCCAGAGGCATTTCTGCTAGTAGGCAATGGGGAAAGGGGTGACATTCCAGTCATCAAATAGAACGTTTCTCAAGCACCAGAATTCTCCACTGGGGAGCCAAGAAGTAATGGAGAAGGTGGAAGAGAAAGGAGAAATTGACTGCATCACCCCATCCCCACCACATGGAGAAGAAAGTCAGAAAAATGGCAGGTAGCCAGGAAGCAAGATAGTTAGGGACAGTCAGGGAATTTCCTGCTCCTTCTTGCCTTCTGTAATTATGAATGTGAAAATGATCCTAGAAGACCTTTGAGATGAGGAGTAGGGAGACAGGGAGGGACAGGAAGGAAAGGGACCAGAGGATCTCACCAGTTCCTTGTGTTCCTCGGTGAGACTGGAAGGCAGGGTGTCCATGTATGAATCCTTCAGGGGCTTCCAACCTAGCTGATGGGGCTCCATGTAGATCATCCCACACCTGGCAAGCACAAACAGAGGACCAGCCTGGTCCACATCTGGCTCCCAAGCACGTAGGGGTGAAGTAGGAGGTCATGGTGAGGTAAGAGGCTGGAGCTTGGGTCGGGGCATAGACCCTCACCAGCTCCAAGCCAAAGGAAATATGCACAGATTTTGCCAGGAGAGGGTGGAGACCAGTGCTAAGAGTTGGGTCTTGAGAATCGGAGACCTGGATTCAAACCCCAGCCCCAGACCTTACTAACTGAGTGACCTTGGGCAAATTTCTTTACTGTCTCTGAACTTCTGTGTCCTTGTCTGTAAATTGAGGAATATAAAAAATATGTAGTTCATAAGGTTGTTGTAATGGTTAAATGAAAGGCCTAGCACACAGAAAACTCTTATCAATGAAAGCTACTATTATCATTACCATAATGTTAGTACATTACCATGCACTGACATGTAACATTTTATTTAGCACTTTTTTTCCCAATTCTGTTTTATCTAGGCACTCTCTCCTTTGTTACTAACACTGGCTACCATTTATTGAACACCTACTGCGTGTCAGCCACTATGCTAAGTCTTAATGGCCTTCATCTCTAAATATTCCGCTTTATGGTATACATTTTAGACATGAGGAGACTGTAGCTCAGAGAGGCTAAGTGACTCGGAAGAGGTCACACAGCTAGAAAGTGGTGTGGCCAGGGTGGGAGCCCAAGTTGGTCTAACTTGCCATATGCTCTTTCTATTCCCTTACATTGCCTTTGGGAATGTGGGCTGATTTTATTTTATTTTATTTTTTATGGACTGAAGTTACACTATTGGATTAATTCTTATCCTTGGCACACTCATCATTAGCCCACTGCATGGCCTTTCTTAGTTAATTGTTTTCAATAATGTACTAAGTGCCCATGAGCCCAATACCCAGGCAGAAGCTAGGGTCTTGACGATAACCTTCATCTAACCATATAGTCTCCCTTATCCTATGCCCATGGCTTTCCCCACCTGAGGTTATACAGCATCTTGAATCTCATGCTCACCTGTGCTTTGATTTCTTTCCTTCTTATAGAGTTTTATAGCATATACACACACACACACACACACACACACACACACACACACACACACACATATATATATTTACTTGTTTTTAATAATTTAAAAGGGGACACTATGCTGTATGTAATATTACAGGCTTACTTTTTATACATAATATTGTTAAGATTTTATCTTTAATTTTACTAAGATTTATCTTATATAGTTGCTTGTCAGCACAGTTCATTTATTTTGAATGACATACAAATACTACGATTTGTGATCTTATTATACTTTTTAATTCGCTCCTGTCAATGGGCATTTGGGTCGTTTCTAAGTGTTTGTTATTGTAAATTATGCTACTCTGAAAATTCTGGTACATGTCTCCCACTGTACATGGGCAAAAGTTTCCTTTGTGTATATATCAATACTTACAAGCAGAATTGCTGGGTCATGAGGTGTAAGAAAGATTAACTTTAGGAGATGATATCAATCTCTTTTCCAAAGTGATTGCCTAATTTTAGATTCCTACCAGCACTGTGGATTGAGGACTAACTTTATGACAAATCTGACAACAAGTATTGTAGGTGATCTGCTAGAGTTTAATCACATTTATGGATTTTTAGAGCTTTCCCTCCTGCTTAGGGTTAGTGAGGCCTCACATTCCCCCAGGGGGTCCCTGCAAGCTGACTGACCTGCTCACAGTGGCGGGGGAGGCCTGCTCCAGGTCAGCTGGCTCGAAGATCAGACTCATCTTGGAACTCATCTGGATAATCTCTCCACTCATTAAACAAAGCTGAAAGTACAAAGCAGAGGAGTGGAGGGCAGCAAACGAATTAAATTCCATCTGCAAGTGAAAGGCATCAGTGGGGACAGAGATGTTTTGAATTCATTCAACAAATACTTCTTGAGCAGCTATTCTGTGCCAGGCACTATGCTAGTTGTGCAGAATAAAACAGACAAAAATTCCTGTCCTCTTGAGGTTTGCATTCTGGTCGGGGGAGACAGATGATAAGCAAAATATATGGAATATACAGTGATGAAAGTGCTTTGGAGAAAAATAAAGTCGAAGAGGGGCTGGAGAATGCTGTGTGTGGTGAGCTGTAATATTAGACAGGGAGGTCAGAGCACCACTGACTTGCAGCCTTAGATGAAGAAACCAGAAATTAACAGACTACAGCAAGTTTCATGGTTCCTTCCTCAGTGGAAGGAATTTAATAGCATACCCCCATCCAGTTTTATTTGCTCAAGTTTCCCACAAAGACTCCTTCTGGAATCCCTCATGGACTGGCCCAGGGTTAGAATGACAAGAATATCTCCCCATCCTTTTTTTGGAATGGAAGGAAAGACCATTACAAGTCCTAGTGTTTAGCAGGCATATCCCTGCAGAAAGTAGTGCAAATACACAGGACAGACTCTGAGTATATCCACCAAGTCCGTGGTGCTGCTTCTCATTTGTCAACATGGGTTAAAGTGAGATGTTTAAGTCATAAGATGGCCTGAGGCCTTGGTCTCTCAGGGGAAAAGAGGAAACTCCATTGTTCCCTGCTTCTCATCCTAAATTGTGGTTTTAAAAGTTTCTGATATATTACCTGACCCACATCAAACACATCTGGAACAGGTCATTATGTGCAACCCTAGGAAGGTCACAGCTGTTATGGGACTAATACCATTAACAGTGTCGTCTCTGAAAATCAAGAAAAGTGAAATAGACCCATACCTGTGACAGTAGTTTGATTTCATTCAGAGCTGTGAAGAGCCATCAGGAAATTCACTGATTATGACTCTTTATACTTCTGATCTCAAGACCAACCAATACATGTGTACAATTAGTTTATATAACATAGTCCATATCATGTAATAAAACTTACTTCTTTTTTTATATGCTATATAATCAAAATTACAAACATGATATTATTAGTGCATGTATATAATTTGGATAATTAGGCCTTCCATTGTTGAGCATGACTCACTCTTAGTCTTGCAAAATTTAAATGCAGAAGGAAAATATATTTTGATTTGATAATGATGTATAGTCAGTGTAAGAACTATTCCTTGAAATGGTGATAAATATTATTTTATTTTATTTTAACAGTTATATAGCACTTGCTACATGCCAGGCAATATTATAAACAGTTTGCAAATATTAATTTATCTAATCTTCCTAACAAAATTATGACATAGATAGGGTTATTCTCATTTTACAGATGATGTAATTGAGGCATAGAGAGACTAAATAGCTTGCCTGAAGTTACATGACTGCTAAGTGGTTCAGAACAGGATCTGAACCCAGGTTGTCTGGCTCCAGAGCCTAAGCTCTTTAGCCACTACATTTATTGTGGCAGAATGTATTTTCCAAAGACTGCTGCAACAATATCTCCTATTCCACGTACACTTTTGCAATGTGACCTCGCCCACCTCCATCAAGAGGTAGAGTCTATTTCTCCACCCCCTTGAATCCGAGTCTATTTCTCCACCCCCTTGTGACTTCTTTGATTAATAGAATTCAGAGAAAGTGATGCTGTGCCAGTTCCAAGCATAACTCTTAATATCCTGAAAACTTTCACTTCCTGCCTCTTGGAAATTAACCGTCATGTAAGAAGTGCCACTACTCCAAGACCACCAAATGATAAGCCCAAGCCATGTGGAGAGGGCTGGAGGATAAGACGCTTCTTGAGAGAAAGGCAGAGAGACAGAGAGATAGAGACACAGAGAGAGTTACAGAGAGATAGACAAGACGAGGAAGAATGAGCCCCCAGACACTGAGTGAAGAATCTACCATGGATGTGGCTCCTCTAGCCCTAGCTGCCCCAGCTGACATCATGAGGATTAGCTGAACCCACCTGAGCCCTTCCAAAATTTATAATCCACAGTATCACGAGCAAAGTTAGGCCACTAAGTATTAAGGTAGTTTGCTATACAGGAACGGATAACCAAAACACATCCATATATTAGGCACTATGTATGGACTATCTTATTTAATTATCAACACCCTTATTTATTACTACCATTTTACACATGAAGAAACTGGTTCAGAGAAGTTATGTGAACCAGTATATTGCCCAATATAACAGCTCAGTTGTAGAGCTAGTAGGCCAATTTGATGCCAGCACCAAGGCTTTTATCCACTATACAACAGTGTCTCTAAACACACATAACTTACCCACTACAAGTACAAACAAAAGCATAATTCATGAATTGATAACTGTTACTTTCTTGTGGGGCATTTATTCTTAGTGTAATAAATGTATATGTTATATAGATTTTTTTAACGTTTTTATTGGAGTATAATTACTTTACAATGGTGTGTTAGTTTCTGCTTTATAACAAAGTGAATCAGTTATACATATAGATATATCCCCATATTTCTTCCCTCTTGCATCTCCCTCCTTCCCACCCTCCCTATCCCACCCTTCTAGGTGGTCACAAAGCACGAAGCTGATCTCCCTGTGCTATGCGACTGCTTCCCACTAGCTATCTATTTTACATTTGGTAGTGTATATATGTCCATATATACACTCCCACTCTCTCACTTTGTCCCAGCTTACCCTTCCCCCTCCCCGTGTCCTCAAGTCCATTCTCTAATAGGTCTGCATCTTTATTCCCGTCTTGCCCCTAGGTTCTTCATGACCATTTTTTTTTTTCGATTCCATATATATGTGTTAGCATACAGTATTTGTTTTTCTCTTTCAGACTTACTTCACTCTGTATGACAGACTCTAGGTCCATCCACCTCACTACAAATAACTCAATTTCGTTTCTTTTTATGGCTGAGTAATATTCCATTGTTATATTATATAGTTTTGATCAATCACTAACTTCAGTAAAAGAGTTTATTGCATACCCATGTAAAAGTGATATCAGACAGGTACCTTTTTATTGTCATCCAGAACAGTGTTCATATTTTCGATCCAAACAGCATCCACTGGCCCATCAAATATAATCCACTTGCGGCCATCAGACGAAGTAGATGCTTGCTCCCGGAAAGCATTGGCAAGGACACCATCTGTCCACTCATGGCTCACTTGGTCAAAGCACCCATACAGCTGCCCCATGGTGATAGCCTTGGGGTTAATGATCTTATACTCCACAGCAAATTCCTCCATCTGGTTGGCTGGGCAAGAAGGTCCAACACAAGTTACAAAAGTTCTTGTGACACCAGAACATTAGGACAAGAAATAATGCCATCTAAAAGACCAAACAACTTTTATCAATATGCCATCCAAGGATAGTCCTTAAAATTTGTACTCAGTCTGTATAAAAATTGGGATAACTGGATAGGCAAAGCCTTAAGTTGTTAGGTTATTACAGCTATTAGTTTCTCACCGTATTGTTTTCTGAGGCTCATTTCAAACAAGTCAAATGTGCCAGTCAGATCTAAAGAAGTCTGCCTGGGCCTACAAGAACTCAGGCAGTAAAGGAGAGAGATGCCATATAATCAGGTGTCTTTATGTACCTGGCTACCCTAGAACCTTGGCTTTGACTTGAGATAAGGAAACAGCTGACAGGTAAAAGATTCTGGAAAATGATGGTTACTTTCCTTTTGTCTACCTGAAGGGCTAGCTTAGCCCTGAAACCTCTTCTTTAGCTGCCCAATAAGCGTCCCCTGAGAAATGGAGCACCAGGACCCAACCAGAATACACAGGCTGATGGATGGCACATTGTACGTATTTAAGAACAGAAAATAACCACACTTTTGCATGATCCTTCAAAGTAAGGAAAAACTGGAGTGCCTGAGCCATGAACTAAATAAAGAACCATTTCTGCAGAATTCTGAGGCAAAGACAATGGGGTAACCTCCTTTCTCTTCATTTAGTTTCCTAAATTATATTCAATGCCAAAATTATTACTTAAGTTTGAAATGCCCAAGTTATTAAATAACAAGTTATTAAGGCCAAGTTAGTGCCCAAAACAAAAAACTCAAAAATTCCACAGTAACTCAATCAGCAGTAACTCAATGTTATTAGAAAAAAATATTAAAATGAAGCATACTGGAAGGGACCCTGTAAACACAGGCACAGCAAGGCACTGCTTTTCAAAACCACAGCCTTGTGTTTTATAAAAGAAAAAAAACCTCAAAACTGTTTCTCTGGCAATAAACATGGTCTTTATTTGTTGAGCTAGGTTATTTACCTGCATAATCTCATTTAATTATCACAAAAATCCCATTTTACAGCTGGGAAAACAGAGGCAAAGAGAGGTTTAGTCATTTGCCCAAGGTCTGGGTTTCATTCAAGAGTCTGAGGTCTTATCTTTCACATTAAATTGAAGGAAGGAAAGAAGGAAAGGAGGGAGGGAAGAAGGGAGGCAGGGTGGATGGGAGGGTGGGAGAATGTGAGGGAGGAAAAAAGGAAAGGAGAGGGAAAGAAGGGATGGAAAGAAAAAAAAGGAAAAGAAAAGAAACCATGCAATGATCTGCTTTTAGAACAGTTTTGTTTAGGCAAGTGGCAGGAGTTTCCCTCATTGAGAAAACCTTTGGAGAAGCCACTGTTCAGCATTTGAGAAAATTCCTCCAGCTTTAGTGATGCATATAAAATCCCCTGTTAGAAGCTCTCCCCCCTCTTTATTCTCTGCCTGCAGACCTCTGTGTGCCATGTTCTATTCCTGGCTCTAATGTCACAAATCAGGGATGGTAAAGTTAACAGCCTGGCATCATCTCTATGGAGCCAGTCAACTGAGTGGGGACTCCTGTCCTCCCTGGAAGCCAGGGATATGAGTTTTACCTTCGTGTAAATCACCCAGAGCTGCAGCCAACACTTTATAAGCACAGGTCTTGCCACCCATGGGGTCTCCGACAATCATATAGCCATGTCTTACTAGCATCATCTCGTAGATCTGGGAGGAGACATCATATAAGAAGTTAATCATTGCAGACCTCCCAGAACTGCAATTAGTCAGATGTCTACAAGGAACAAGGACTGCAGTCCTTTATTTGTCATCTATTGCTTAAATATCTTTTGGATGAATAACTATATGTGTGCATCTCAGATTATTTAAGGGATGGGAAATACTATTTGCTCTGCACCTATCTATGTGCTAAGCAGCAGTGACTTACCTAAGTTATTTCATTTAATCCACTCAGGTATCATTAACTACTTTTAAATGGTGGGAACACTGAGCCCTAGAGAGGCTAACTAACTTGCCCAAGCTCATCAGTGGTGGAACCAGGATTTGACCACAGGGCTCTCTGACTTCAATTCCACTAATCTTTTCATTGCACCATTTCTACTTGCTTTTAAAGAGGAAAAGGAAACAATGGTCATTTTAGCCAACTGCGTTTCTACTGGAAACTTCCTTTCTCAAGGCCTAAATGCTATTCTGACTTGATTGGAACTCTCAATAGATTAAAATGTATTTTCTGAGCCAGGGGCGATGCTGTAAAATATAAATGAACTTCCATGTAATTTTAGCCCCTACCGGTGAGAATCAACAGCTAAGTGGAAGCTCATTTTTTGAATTTTCTAATTGTTTTATCTGTGACACGTAGTCCATGACAGTTGAAATGCAAATGCTTTGGTCATTTATATTAATGTGAAATGTTTTCTCTCTCCTTTTAAACTGTGAGTCTCTCAGCAAAAGGGACTATATGAAGCTTTTTATTTTAAGGATTGTTTGCATTATTTTTCACCTTGGAAGTGAGTTATACAGAGGGTGTAAATTAGGACAATGGGGGTGGTACAGGTACTGACAAAATTGAGTCAGCAAATATTTGTTAAACACCTATTATGTGCCAGATACTGTTCTAAGTTCTACAGACGGAGAGGACAAAACAACAAAATCCCCAACCATCAAGTAAGGTTTACATTCAAGTAGACTGCAAAGACATTTCAGATTGAATAAAGATAAATGGAGTTGACTGTGCATTAGAAGAAAGAGAGAAAGGCACTTATGATTTAATAGCCTCTCAGCTTCCCCCTCACATAACTTTAAATGGATTATCAAGGTATCATTATACAAAAGGGAAGGTAGCTCCATATATTTTGCTTTGGAAAATTGCTACTAAACTATATAAAAGTTCATCTGTAGGTCTGTAAATTACTTTGGAATACATAAAAAAGTAAGGTAAGTTGATGGATGGATGGATGGATAGGTAAATGAAAAAGCAAGTATTATAAAATGTTAATTATAAAATCTAGGTGGTGGGTACATGGGTATTCTCAGTAAAATTCTTTCAATTTTTCTGCATGCTTAAATTTTTTATTATAAAATATTGGAAATAAAAGCTCATGCCTAGCTTAAAAAAGTCCATCTATAAAATCCCAACGAATAGATTGGGATTCAATATTGAGTTAAATGAATTGTGTCAAGACTAGCACATTTGATGAATAGTTGGGAAAAAATTTTTATTCCTAAAAATTTTTATTCTGATCTCAGAATCTGGAGACCTGGGTCCTACCTTGACCTTTAATTCTAAATAACAATATGATTTTGGGAAATGATGATATTTCTGATGTTTGTGGAGATGGTGAGGTTGATTTTGATATGGTAATCAGGCACTATATCTAGCACTTTATGTACTTCTTGTCTCAAAATTACTCTGTGGGGAAGGTTTTACTCCCTCCATTTTACAGTTGAAGAAACTAGGGCTCAGAATGGTGAACTAACTTGCCTAAAATCTCACAGCAAAAAACTGACGGGGGTGAGATTTGAAACTAGGTTTATATGAATCCAAATCTGTTCCCTCTCTGGATGCCAGTGTTCTTAAGGAGCCAGGAGCAGATGGCATTTAAGGTCCCTTGTAGTTCTGTCCTGTGATTCTGTAGAAAAAGTGCATTTGGGGCTTACTTTATTCAACTTATGACTTTAAGTCAGTTTTACATAGAAAGTGATCCTAGGGAAGGATCCCTGAAGTTAGTGTGAAATTTCACTAAGGTTCTCCAGGGTCAAGACTGTAGAAACATTTCTTTCACCTACTGGTAACAGCACCCTGATTTTCCCTGAGGAGCCACCACTTCATGGTTCAGTCCACATGACTTGGGTGGCTCTGACTCCACCTCCACTTCTGGCAGAAGTGGGGTGGTTATAGTCTACTTCTTATCTCTGTAATTGGTTCAGGGATGGTCATGTGACTTTATGAGCACCATTCAAAGCTAATCCTGAGACTTTTGCCGAGGACACTCCAAGAATGATGCTCTTTTTCCTTCTGGGCTTGAACATGGGACAATCTAAGTGTGAGGCTACTGGGGGCCCAACTGAAAATGAATTTTTCATGCAGAGAGAGGCAGAATCCAGAAATGAGAAATGAGGCAGATTCCTAATGACATTATCTAAAAACCTGTATCCCACTATGCCTGAAACCAACATATTTCTGTACTTTCCAAGTTAGGTAAGTGAGTAAATTCCCTTTTGTTGACTAAGACAGTTTGAATTGGATTTCTATCACTGGGAACCAAAAAAGTTGGTTTTTGAGTAATGCAAAGCCCAATGCCCTGAAAGGTTCTGTTTCATCCCCAAATGATGAAAAAGAAACCCTAGGGAAGATGGTCATAGGAAAAATATTGGATTTTAAAAGTCAGCTCCTGGAAATGAAAACTGAAGGCACATCAGATTGTTGAGTGTCTTCATCTCTAGTCAGGCATCTCCAATTGCTGTCAGTTCAGTTCCAATCTACCATAGTTCTTTCTAATTCCTGACCTCAGCAAACAGTAAACAGGTACATTCCACATGGGTACAAGGAATCAACCTGGATAATTTTTCCAATAAACCAAGGTACTGGCTGGAGTTTCATCTTTTTGATGTTCTCATTCAGCACTTCCATAAAAACTTCATAGTCTGGCTTTGGAAGAACAACTCCAGGAAACAAATCTGATATAATTCCCTGTTAACAAAAATTCAAGATGTGAAAAAGATGAATTATCAGATACATAACCTCAACATTTTCCTAAAATGAGATCTACAGGTAGCAGGAATACTTGGAAAATTCCATACCTCATTTTTCCTGTACCAAAACTCATCTACAATGACAAATTCCAACAATATCTGTTAAACATGATTTTCCTTCCCCAGAATTTTAAAAGTCAGCAAATATTTAATCAGTCTGTGCTGTCTTTCAGTCATTATACTAGCAATGAACAAGACAGTCAAGATTTCTGTCTTAAAGAGCTTACCGCCTAGTAAGGAATATAGGCATTAAAATAATTCCAAAAGAAAACTAATTACATTTGATATAAACAATTACTCACACTCAACAGCAAATATCCTAGCAGTGAAACTATTTTTATTAAAATCAGGAATTAGGGATATTGCTATTACCATTATTATTTAACATTTGTGGGAGGGTATCTGGCAATAGGTATGCTGGCTAGAGAATGGAGGGGGTGTCAGGAGATGGAAGAGGTGCCGAAAAAATTTTTCATCTTTGGATGTCGAGTCTCAGTGCTTAGCCAAGGTCCCAAACCATTACATACCTGAAATAGAGGGACATCTTGAGCCAAGAACTTGGCCAGGTTGACATCAAGCAAGGCCCGCAGCAGCAGGACACTCTCATTCTCCTCCGGATACTTCAGCTTCAGGTCGCCGGCGGCAGTGAGCACAGACTTGACAGCACGCATGCCATAGTCATAGTGATGCTGGGAGGAAAGTTGCTCTGAACACAGGCGGTAGGTTGCAACAATCTTCTGGGCAAGACTGGGAGGGCAAAGACATGTCTGCAGACCCTCTAGAGAGGACCATGTCCTGCTCGGCAGACATTCCCAACATGCTTGTGCCCTGTCCCTTCAGAAGCCAGGCCTGCCCACGAACTTGATGCAGAAAGCCTATCATTTGAAGGCCTCTTCACAGAGTTACCATAATGAGGTAAGGAAGCACTGTAACTTTCTTTCAAAGGCAGGATGAGAAACAGCAAGCACGTACATATGTAGAACATATACTGTACAAGAAGTTATATGTGTCTATACTTTTATCTGTATATATGAATGTATGTGTACACCACACACCCACACAAACACACACTTGGGAAGATTACATCAAACGATTAACAATGTTAATGCCTAAAGAGTAGGACTAAGGGTCACAAAGAGGACACTCATTTTTGCATTCCTGTAACATTACAATTTTTTTCAATATCCATGTTTTACTTTTTTAAGAAAACCAATTCAAAATTTAATATACTCAGCACACAATACATGTATGCTCATGTGCACTGCCATATCTTATTTTTCCTGGGCACATGGGGGGGGACCACATTTCCTAGCCTCCCACACAGTTACGGGTGGCCGCATCACTGAGTCCTGGCCAGTGGCATATGAATGAAAGGGAAGTATGCCACTTTGAGGGCTGGTCCATAAAAACCTCCTCCATAAGATCCTCTATGCTCATGTGTTGTAGCTGTGAGATATAAGTAACCTGGGTCCCTGGGGAAGAACTCCTCTGATCACAAACACCCATTTTGGATTTCTAGGGAGTGAAAAATAAACTTTTGCTATGCTAACCCATTGGAATTTGGAGGTCAGGTTTACCCTAGCTAATGTACTTATGCACATTCCCCTTGCAAGGCTCCTCTTTAACAAGACTGATTTACTTTAAAAGCAAAGACTGTGTTGCTCATCGGCACCTAGCACAGGGCTGGGCATAAGGTAGGTGATTTGCCAATTGAATAAATAAATGAATTGAACAGGCAAATCAATGTAACCCAAGTCTCCTATAGAAAAAATAAACCTCTTATGACTGAGGCAGCCTCTTAGCCTAGGAAGGATGGCACAGTCTGTTGAGAATGTCTGCAGCCCCTTGCATTAACAGCAAGGACCTCCAGGCCACAAAGACACTGTGGGCCTTGTGGAGATAACTGCAGTAACAAAAAAATCAATCGATTATGGGCAAGACAATGTAAAAAGACAAATGTAAAATTTGAAATAGATCAATAAAAGGCATTTTACAATAAATATTCACAACTCTGGGTGCATGTGATAAAGACACTGATGCTTGTGTATGTCTCCGTCTTAGAAAACTGGGTAATACTTGAATGACAGAAAACCAAGTTGATTTGAGTAAATAAATATTATATTGAAAACAATGTTAATTCTAAATTATTTTAATTTTTCCTCTTCAATCTTGGAATAACTTCATGTTTTTCAGTCTCGCCTTAAGTCATTTAGGTGTGTGTGTGTGTGTGTGTGTGTGTGTGTGTGTGTGTGTTAGACTGAAGGGTAGAGAATAGATGAGTGATTCTTCCTTAGAAGAAGTCCAGGTGTATACAAATAGAGTGGAGGCCCTTTCTTGGTAATCTGAGCCATTTCCTAGTCAGGGGTGGGGTCAGGACCAAGACCAGGGCTATGTGCTTTCAGATCAACTTGTGAGTAAAAGCAGTTTCTCAAGTTTCTCTCTCTTTTTTTCCAATGGACAATTTACCTTGAATCCACCCCACAAAAGCCCACTCTGTCACTCTTTCTTTAGAACGCACTAGAAAGCCAATATAACATACCTTCTGGAGTCTAGAAACCCCATAGAGTAGAGGGAGATTTCTCCAATGAGGGCATAATCTGGCACCATCATGGCCACTGTCCGAAACAAGGCCTGGAAAAGAAACAGCCTTCTAAAACTAAGGTTTCATGTAAAGAACCTAAGCACATAAGGTGAAAATGGGGGAAGGTACATCTACAGAGGCAAAGAGAAGTAACATGATCATTCAGACTACCCAGTGACAATCAAGGAAAGGAGGGCTGGAGGACAAATCAGTGTAGAAGGACTGTCTTTACTGGACAGATCCACTGCTCCATGAACCTCCCCACTAGCTTTGTCCAGGTACATGTGTCACATTGGGTCCCTCAGTGGTTGTGTGGAAGGCCTTAGGTGCTGGTATCCTAGCAACACCTCATCCTCCTATGCCAAATGAGCGTCATTCAACTACTGGAGCTTTCCGGTGTTCAGTGTAGACAGTAGAAGTCATTCAGGGATGCAGGATAATTATGTATCAGAAGAATCCCGAAGTCAGACAAATCTTGATTTGAGTCCTTTCTCTGCTACAGCTACTAACTGTGGGTAAGTTATGTAACCCCTCCAGACCGCAGGTCTTTCAACTCAAAATGTACTAACCACTGTGCCCTCTTCATAGTTATCATGAGAACAAATGATATTATGTAAGTGAAGTGCTTAAAAAGGTGTGTGGCACATAGTGAGGGCTCAATAAACATCAGCTATTGTTTCTAATATCTTGGATCTAATATCTTAGATCTTAGAGGAGAAGTGACTTGCCCAAGTCATGCAGTTAGAGGTAGAGCCAGGACTAGAATCCAGGCTTCCTGACACCAAACCTGGGTACCTTCTACTATGCCACACTGTCTCATGAAAGTTGTTTGTGCAGATCTAACATGGTTGTTGGCTGGGAGGGGTGCAGGGGGGAGTTACATCAGCTGGGCACTCTAAAATGAGAAACGTGGGTCCAAATTCTACTTTGGTGTCCCCTGGCCTATGCTGACCTAGAGAGGAAGAGTCACCCTTAGGGATCTCTTTGACTTCTTTTCCATTCCCACGGAGGAGGAGGAGTGGCTTGTCTGAATTAGATTCCAGGGAACTAATCAGAATGTGCTTCTAGCAGATGGAGCATCATGTACTAAAGTCAGTGAATGTGGGTTTTGTCCAGGTCTCTCTTACGTCTTTCACACAAGGGAATGGAGCAATAACTTGAAAGGAAATCCATAAAGAAGCAGGCCTAGAATTTTCCCTCTGGTTGCTCTTTTCACGCAGTTGGGGTGCTAGGTGCTCTTCCCACAGGTGAAGACCCATTCATCTTGCACTTTGTGTTTTTTCCTCCCATGAGAGAAGCATGCTAAGGTCATCTAGTGCCTGTTCCCTTAAGATGGCCTGGTTGGAATTCTCTCTCTCCCCCTTCAGAGGCGCTTTCCTCCTCCCACTAGCAGCAGGGCCAATGCTTATTGCCACAGCTGTAGCTCAGGCCAGCTCAGCAGTAGGTACCAGGGACGTACAAGCTCTCGTTATCTCTCTAGCTGGTTGGAACAGCCTGCTTCGGTGTGGACACCACTTAGGCCTAACCAGCTTAGCTCCACGTGCTCTAGTCTTGGTCTACCAGCGTTCTCTGTGTTGAACTTTGATGCTCTCTTATAAGCAGATCTGTTTTATTTGGCCTACAGTGATTTTTTTTTTTTTTTTTTTTGCATTGAGCCAGGATCTAAAAATAAGATTTCATGTAAAAATCCAAATTTCTGGCTTTTCCTGAAAAATGAGAAGATCTGACAATTCCTGCTTGGCAACAGTAGGCTGGAGCTAAGTAGGGGCTGCCTCTAGATGGGGCATTTGTCAGAGTCCCTACCAGGCCCAGCTGGCTTTTCTCATTTATATTAACTGTAGACAACAGAAACAGTGATACTTCTTCCAGTGTTCATTGTTGCCTCTTTGCCATTGGTTATTATGTATATATTTCCTCCCATCTCATGAGACCTAGTTGGGGAGACGGTTGAGTTCTGAAGCCAAGTAACGTCTTTACTTCTCACAGCTGAAAAATGTCAACTGGTCCTATTATTTGGCTTCTCTGTGAGACCCTCGGATACTTCCAAAGGTTTCTATACCATAAAGTACACCCAGTAGTTACACACTCAGTATTTACCTTGAGGTTATCTGGCAGCTCAGCCCTGCCAGCATACCCAGGGTTCATGGTGATGAAGACAGCACAGGTTGGGTTCAGAGAGAGCTCAGTGCCTTCAAAGATGAACATCTTTAGCTTCCGGATAATGGCTTGTTGAATGCTGAGAATCTGCTGAGCTACCACAGACAGCACTTCTACCTGGAGTGAGAATGGCTGGTTGATTTGAGCTCCTGCTTCTGACAGCCACCGACCCCACTATGCCAAAGTACCCTTCACTTAGCAAAGAAAGAACCCCATCACCTGAGAATAAGACCTTCACATTCAAAATTAGGAGCATGATTTAGGGTTTTGGTAAAGGAAAAGAAAATTGGCGTGTATATGCATGCATAGACGTGCATACGTGTGTGTGTGTAAGTAGTTTCCATAGTATCTTACCTTTGTTTTACCTTTGTTCCAGCACCTAGCATAATGCTTCACCCAGAGTATGTGTTTATTGGTTCAAGTTGCATGTTTACATTTCCTAATCTCAATTCCCTACCCAAATAGAATTAACCACCTCCTCTTTTGTGATGACTCCTCTGTACCACTGCTATAGACTTCTCTCATATTCTATTTGTATCGTTTAATTTTTATTTCCCTTTGCTAGACTATAACAGTCTAGAGGGCAAAACCATTTTTTGCTCATCTTTGTATCATGAACACACGCAGAGTATCTGACATAGAGTAGCTGCTCAATAAATTTTTGAATGAGCGAGTGAGGGAATCAATTTGGTGAGAATGTTTATGTGTATAAAATATGCATTTTGTCTCCTTGGGGCTGTTTTTCTTTGGTTCATTGAGTACTCACTCTGTGCAACGGGCCTTAGAGGAGACATAAGTCCCTGTCACTGAGGAACTGAGAGCCCAGAAAAAAAGTCCCTGCATGTCCAAACCCTCCATTCAGTAGCCCAATAGCAGTTACCTCAATCCTGTTGAACTCATCAAAGCAGGCCCATGCTCCAGCCTGGGCCAGCCCTTTGAAGAACTTCCCCATGGCTTTGTAATCTAGACCATCTGAGCAGTTGAAGACCACACACTAGAGAGAGGGAGGATGTGGGCACCATTCAGGATGGGTTTCCTCCCATCTGAATCACCCTGCACCATGAAACAGAGGTGGGGCTCCCCTCTTCCTGTTTCACTGAAGGAGGTGGAGTCCCACTCTGCCTGTTACTCTGAGCCATCTTGAACTTCATGCCAATTCCCCTGGACAGGGGTCCAGAGAGGGTTGGGAAAAAGAGTGTGCGGATGGACAGCATTTCCCTACCTGCTTGGCCAAAGCTCTGGCTAGATCTTTGGTGGTTTCTGTCTTGCCTGTCCCAGCTGGACCCTCTGGGGCTCCCCCAAAGTTCAGCTTCAAAGCCCCCATCAGTGTCCTAAGGAGACGAGAATAAGAACTCAGTGCCAAGTCCTAAGGCACAGGAAAGAAACTTGCTTTTGGTTTATTTTGTTTTGACCCAGACAAGTAATTAAATATTTTTCCCCGATTATGTGAGCAATACATCATCATTGTAAAAAGTTCTATTTTACTCAGTGTTGTAACCTCGGCGCCTGGTACATGGGTGACACCTATAAGCATTTGTTTGAATGAATGATTGAATGGATAAATGAAGATATACTTACTAAATGAATCAAATGAAAGTAAAAAATCCTCATAAACTCCACATTCCAAAGATCACCAATGCCAATGGAATGATGAAAAATAAATATATTTCTCCCACTAGGTTACGAACTCTTGAGTTCAGGACCTATATTTGATTCAGTTCCATATGGTAGGCACAAGATAAATGCTAGAAATGAATGATGCGTTAACTGTGGTTCCACAGCCCCTTGTACGAGCCTCTATAATTTCAGTTAACACACTTTCTTGTTATCACCTGAGGGTGTGTCTCTCCCCCACCCCATTAGGTTGAGGGTTCTTGGAGGTCATACATCATGCACAGGAAAGTTCAAGAAATGGTTGTTGAATAATGAGTGGAATAGATAAATGAATGAAGAACAGAAATCATAGAACATAGAAAACACGTGACTGAGGACTCTGAAATTTAAAAAATACTCAAGTACTATTTTTATAATTAAAAAAATTCCACTCTAAGGAATGTATAAAATCAAAGAAAAATCTAAACATCACAAAATTGACAAGTTCACAAAGTCCAGATTTCTAAAGTTATAAATTCCAAGCGAAGTGGCAAAGCACTGTGCTGAGCACAGAATGGCCATACCTCTTCATCAGACTGGGTGGCAGAGCTCTGAGACTCCTTGCCTGGGTCCTTTACCTGGCCCCTTTTCTATCTCTGGCCATGGGATCTCCAGGCACCATCTTGATTCCTGCCACTGGAGACCTTTCTACTTAAGCACTGTGCCATTTTCAAGGAGAGGCAACAACGTGCTAATTGTTGGTTTGAACACATTAATTTGCATTAGGACTCCTACTGGGTTCTCATTTCTGGCCTAAGGCCCAGTTTCCATGCCCATCTGTGGGACCATGGTGACGAAGGGAAAAATTCTAAAATCTGAAAAACTAAAATATAGATGGTAAAGGTAACAAACTCAAGATGCTCTAAGCTTCTTCCCCAGGTTTTCCTTTTGGAATTCTCTATTCACCCTTCAGGTCTGGGGGAGCCCAAGAGTTTACCTGTAGCAGCGGTCAGTGAGGGGCGTAATCACCAGCCGGGGGGAGTTTCCCAGGTACTCATAGCCGTATAAGGCTTCCGTAGTGAGCATCTTCACCTGTACATCCTTGGCATCCCAGTAGTAGCGCAGTTGGGAGATCCACTGGAAATCATTCAGGTCACAGACACTGTCTTCAGATAACTTGGCGACCACATCACGAGCTGTGGGGACACAGACGTGGAAACACATACTTGTAGAGCCATCAGCATCCTCCCATCTTCATGGATTCCTCAGAAGGGTCTGACTGAGGATGTCATCAAGGCCACCCCTCACTATCTCGACAATTTTAGGCTCAACTATCCTCCTCGCCCATCCCCAAACTTCAAGCAACATCTGTATTTATGTATTATATAAATTTATAGTATTAGCTACTGTTATCATTCCCAAACTCTTGGGAGGCTGAACCAGAGGGGTTTGCAATATGTAGTTGCCCCAAATGCTATCTTACCCCAGTGTGACCCTTTTGGCCCTGTTCCAGGCCTCTAGATATCTTAGGAGAACACGATCTGCCTTGCCTGATATAGTTAGCAAGGGCAGGGGTCCCATGAATCCTTGTTAGATGTATTCTTTCCATGAAGGGGGGTGTCTAAGAAACTAACTAGGAGATACATTTCTAGGTTTTCTCCTTTCTGTCATGGGATTGTGAGCCTAATTTAATTTTCTCACAGTGATGGGAGCCCTGAAGTTGATGAGTGGACATAAGTTTATGAGAATCATTCATTATTTTTTAGGTAACTCACAGGGCAAGTGCTATTGCGATCTTAGAACTAGTAGAGCAGCTTGAAATCAGGATCTCAGAAATATAACTTTGCAAAGGGACACTTCTGTAAGTCTACTGCCTCTCTGTGAGAGAAATCTTTATTACAGTAAAATCCAAAACCCTACAGAGAAGAGTCCTTGCAGAAGATTACACCAACAGCTCTTCCATTCACCCCAAGGAATTTAATTCCACACCAGATTCCTGGGAGAACCCAGAGAGTGGTGGCAGGAGCAGGGTATGTGTGAGAGATCCAAGAGGAAGGTGACTCTCAAGGTACTCGGTTGTGGATACCTTCCCTATGCAGTGTATGTGCGTGTGTTTGTGCATGAATATGTGTGTGTGTGTGTGTGTGTGTGTGTGTGTGTGTATGTGTGTAAACCCAACCACTCTGAGGTATCCTGGGCAGTAACCATGCTTGCAGTTATTACTCCTACCAGTTAAATATGTAGCCAGATGAAGATCACATTCTCCCTTCTCTCCTCCGGATTTTATGCTAGTCTATCCAAATGAAATCAGATTGAAATGAGCATCAGGGATTGAAATGAGCATCAGGGAGTTCCCTGGTGGCCTAGTGGTTAGGATTCCAGGCTTTCACTCCTGTGGCCCAGGTTCAATCCCTGGTCAGGGAACTGAGGTCCCACAAGCCATGTGGCCAAAAAAGAAATGAGCATCAGCCTCAAAGAGAGTAAGATGCATGAACTGCCAGTAGGAAGCTGGGTATGTAAGCAAAAGAGACACTGTTCCCAGGCAACAAGTTTGGTCCAGCCCTAGTTTCCTTTGGTGATGATGGCGTGACACTGTGGGGGTTGTTTGCTCTACATAAAGACCCTGGTTCTTCTTCCTCCTTTCCTCCTTCTCTCTCTCTCTCTCTCTTTTTTAGGAAGAGCTGGAAGGCATCCTTTCTTACCCATTCCCTCCCTGCATCACTGCCCATTTCCAGTCTCTGGGTTTGGAGTCAGACATAAGTTCAAATTACAAAAGCATCTCTGCTACTTACTAGCTGTGTGCCTCTCAGCAAGTTATTTGCCTCTATAAACCTCAGGCTCTTAATCTGTGAAATGTGTATAAAAATAAGACAATGTATGTCAAGCACTTAACACAAAGCTTGGCACCAAGTAAGTATTCAAAAATGTTCATTAAGATCAGTACAAGGAAATAGATTCGAGCTGGTAAATCTCAGGAAGGTTGGGGATGGGAGGGGAAAACATAAGATGGAGATACACAGAAGCACTGACTCCTCTCCTTACCCCCTCACTTACTTTCAGTTGGAGAAGGCTCTTCCTAATGAGAAAAGGGACCTGAGTCATTCCATCCAGAAGGGAGAGAGGCAAGCCTGGCAGCTCTTACTGGACAGTCAGTAATGCGAGGGAAACCTCCTTGCTTACCGTGGACATCAATGACTGTGAGGGCCCCAAGGGTGAGTCGAGCCCCACTGCTCAGCTTTCCTCGCACCAGCTGGACAATCTGTGCAATCTGATCATTGCTCTTTTTCAGAAAATCCTAGCAGGGGAGTAAGATGGAACAATGGGTTAAACTGGATTCTCTTCTGGTAATCCCTTTTCTGGAATGACACCATCCACAACCCCATGGTCCAAACCAGACTCCTGGATGTCATCCCTCAAGCTCCCTTTCCCTCACCCCTAGTCATTAACATTGAGACAAATTTCAAATGCATTACGCTAACTGAAAGAATTCAGATTTCAAAGCCTAGATACTATACGATTTCATTTTATAATATTGTGGAAAAGACAAAACTATAGGGACAGAAAACAAAATGGTAGCTGTCAGAGGCTGAGAATAGGGTAAAGGGTTGACTACAAAGGGTATGAGGAAAATTTTAGGGTGTTTGGAACTGTTCTATGTCTTGACTGTGATGGTGGTTACACAACTGTATGTGCTTGTCAAAATTCAGAAATGCACACTAAAGGGCTTCCCTGGTGGTGCAGTGGTTGAGAGTCCGCCTGCCGCTGCAGGGGACACGGGTTTGTGCCCCGGTCCAGGAAGATCCCACATGCCGCGGAGCAGCTGGGCCCGTGAGCCATGGCCGCTGAGCCTGCGCATCCGGAGCCTGTGCTCCGCAACAGGAGAGGCCCCAACAGTGAGAGGCCCGCGTACCGCAAAAAAAGAAAGAAATGCACACTAAAAAGGGTGAATTTTACTATATATAAATTAGGTAGTAAACCAGAATTAACAAAAATACCTGAAACTCAGATTAAAGTAGACAAAGGAGATATGAAAACTAAATGCATGTAAACATGTAATCCTGGATTGGATCCTGAACCAGGATGAGTATAAAAGCTTTATAGAATAGATAATAATATTGTATCAATGTTGATTTCCTGACTTGGATAATTGTACTGTGGTTATGTAAGATGTTAATATGTGGGGAATCCGGATGAAGGGTGTACGGGAATTCTTTGTATTATTTTTGCAACGTTATTTGCAGGTCTGACATTATTTCAAAATAAAGAGTTAAACAATAAAAATGAATTAAAAATGGGACTTCCCTGGTGGTGCAGTGGTTAAGAATCCGCCTGCCAAAAAAAAAAAAAAAAAAAAAAAAA